TACAGGGTTGCTATGAGTCAGAACAAACTCCACAGCACACTACCACCACCATCACCACCACCAGTATTAATTAGTGCTTAGTCATCCAAGCTCTGGATTCAGTATGCTACTCCTGCTAAGTGTTGTCTAGTCAGTTATTATTCATAGCAAGCCTACATAGGGTTTTCAAGGCTGTAAATCTCTGGGGGAGCAGAAAGCCTCATCTTTCTCCCATGGAGTGGCTGATGGATTTGAACTGATCTTGACTTTAGCAGCCTAGCATGTAATCCACTACACTATCAAGGCTCCTTGAATTCAGTATGTTGTTGTTATTAGGTGTCATCAAGTCTACCAACTCATAGCAACCTTACAATCATAGCCATGTCTGAGCCCACTGCTGCTGCCACTATGCCAATCCATCCCATTGGGAATCTTCCTCTTTTTCTCCGACTCTCCCCTTACCAAATATGATATCTTTCTCCAAGGACTGGCCCCTCCTGACAACATGTCTGAAATATGAGAAACAAAGTCTGGCAATATTAGCTTCCAAGGAGCATTCTGGCTGTACTTCCTCCTACACAAATTGGTTTGTTCTTTTGGCAGTCCATGACACTTTTAATATTCTCCTCAAACACCATAACTCAAATGTCTCATTTATTCTACAGTCTTTCTTATTCCCTGTCCAACTTTCACATGCATACGAGGTTATAGAAAACACCATGGCTTGGGTCCGGCTCACCTTAGTCCTCAAACTGACATCTTTGATCTTCAACACTTTAAAGAGGTCTTGTACAGCAGATTTGCCTAATGCAATACATAATATGGGAGATCCAGATAGAGCAAAAATCCATAGAGTTTTAACATAATGTCCATACTCCCAAAGAAATAGTTTGCAGGCCATACATACAAGGAACCTGCCTATCAACAAATTGGCTGCTGATAGCAGATATCATCATGAACATGGTTATATCATATCGGATCTCATCATGAAGGATGACTACATCATTAAACAACTGCTAGTACATCATCTACCACTTGTCTGCCAATTTGTTGTACTGCGGTGACTTGTGTGTTGTGATTCTGGAAGCTATGCCACTGGTATTTTAAATACCAACAAGGTCACCCATGTCACCATGGTGGACAGGTTTCAACTGAGCTTCCAGACTAAAAGGGAGTATGAAGAAGGAGACATGGACTACTTCTAAATATTCAATCACTGAAAACCTTATGGATTTTGAAACATAATGAAGAGTACCAAAATATTATCAGATATTGTGCTGGGAGATGAATTCCCCAGTTTGGAAGACACTCAAAATACAATTGGGGAAGAGCTGCCTCCTCAAAGTAGAAAAGACTGTGATGACAGGAATGGAGTAAAGCCTTCAGGATCTCTATTTGTTGATGGAGCACAACTCACAATGAAGAGAAACAGCTGTAAACATCATAATAGTCAAACCTCCAAATCTCTGAGACTCATGGACCTGCCAAGTAGACAACTTCAGCCATCACTTCTGATTTCTGGACTTATTTGAGCTATGATAGATAACCTTCTTGATTATATGAGAATACATTAATCACCACAAAGTTATTAATACTATTTTTGTATCTTAATTAATGTGCTGACTTCCAGTATCTACAGAAATTTTAGGAGTAGATACTAAAATGGCAGTATCATATAATTTTTACCCCTTTAAAACTTTAAAAAAGGAATCCTTTTGAATTTTCCTGGAAATACTCTTCTAAGCAGCCTGATGGCTTTATATAATTGCATCCTTTTTGTAGCGTAACATCAAAATTTAAGCTTTTAAGGAAGAAATATTATGTCAAAAAGTTAGGTCTCTCATAATAGTTTTAAATTATAAAAAAACTTAAAATATTATGTAATTTTGCATCACAGATATTAAAGTGAACTTATTTAGGTAATATTTATGGTTTAAAGCCATATATGTATACATACAGATTCAGATCCTGTGAAAAGTAAAAATTATAACACTCCAGTGTTGTTCTACAATCTAATATCTGAAAAACTCTGAGAATTTATCAGATACAAAAGGAGAAGTTTGCAAAATATTTATAAATAAGAAGGAGAAAGATTAGGTGTCTGTAAAGTACGTTCATATCAATGATTTACACATACAAAATAATTCCATTATTCTGTCAGCAAGCTATTTTCCATATGAAATGTGAATTTTCTTACAGAACTTATTAATTGGACTAATTTTAAGAAATTTACCATTTAGCTGGATGACACTGTAGGATAAATACTGGACTGTTAACCACAAGGTTAGCAGTTCAAACCCAATAGTCACCCTTGAATATCCTATACAGGATCGTTATGTGTTGGAATTTACTTGGTGGCACTTAATAATAACATTTAGTTAAGAAGATATACTATATGCATTAAAATATCTTATTCAAAGATAGCAAATAATACTAATTAAATATTAAATATAGAGTTCATTTTGATCAATAGTTTCTAACTTTGTGGCACAGAAGTATTTCTTAGGGCTTTGTTGTTGTTGTTGTTGTTGTTGTTGTTTTTAAATGAAGATTCCTAAATCCCATATCAGTTTGTGAACTTAGAAAATCTTGGCATTAAGGTCCGTAATTGAAAAAAAAAAAAATTAAAGTGATTCCAAGGTATAGCTATATATAAAAAACTATATGGAGTCCTGGTGTAGCACTGTGAGTTAATATACCAGACTGCAAAGCCATTTGAACTGCAAGGTCGGTGGTTCAAGTTCACCAGCTGCTCCTTGGAAACTCTACAGAGGGTTGCTATGGGTCGGAATTGACTCGATGGCACTTAACAACCACAACAAATATATCTATATATGCAAATCTATCTATATACATATCTATCTATCTTACTCCTGGTGTGTCGCTGTAGGATAAGCACTGGGCTGCTAACCGAAAGATCAGCTGTTCAATCCTCCAGCCACTCCTTAGAAACCCTATACAATGTTGCTATGAATCAGAACTGGCTTGATGGCACTTAACAACAATTGTTACATGACTTTAAACAGTCAATGTTCCATAAATATACATAGGTAAATGAGGACATTGTGGAAAGCTTCATGGAAGAGGTAGACTTAAGTTTGCATTTTGAAAGAAGCAAGGTGGTTTGAACAGGAGTAATCCATCTTGAGGCATCTCTGAAGAAAGGATGCCTAAAAGATGACAGGCAAGACCAAAATTTTTGCCTGAAGTCTGGAACTAAACAGTAGTTTAGCTTAACCAGTAAAAAATATCTGCATTGAGCATTATGTCCTTTCAAGAACTATCTGTTGTTTTAAGTGTTGTCAAGTTGGTTCTGACTCATAATAACCCTGTATAGGGTTTCCAAGGAGTGCTGGTGGGTTTGAAATGCCAACTTTGTGATTAGCAGTCTAGTGGTTATCTAACAGTGTGACACCAAGATCCAGGTGAGTTCAAACTGACAACAGCAACTTGAAAGATTAAATAGGATCTTGATGGGACAGTGAGTTTATGTTAATGAGGGAGGAACAACTCAGTATATTAAGGTTAGAATAGTCACACTATCTGAAGAATACAATCAATATCACCTAAACAGTACAGAATAAACTGTTGAATTGATGTATGTATTTGTTGTCCATATTCTCAACCACAACAGCAACAAAATTCTCTAAAAAATAAAAGATCACAGTCACTGAAAGCACTGTGGAACACAGTTCTACTCCAGGGTTTCCACGAGAACAAACGAACCCAATAGCAGCTGAATGCTTAATACTGAGTACAGCTGTGGAGATGAGACTAGGAATCGTGTGGACGTGATTAGCTAGTTTATAATAGAGTGAATGATTCCTAAAGGGGAGTGGTGGAAATAAACTGAAGAAGTAGATAAATGACAGCCTGAGAAGACAGGATATTGTACATGATCTTGTCAGCAGAAGTTGATGTTGTTGTTAAGTGCCATTGAGTCGGTTCCGACCCATAGCAACTCTTGTGGTTCATACTGACTGTGCAATCTAGTACATTAACCCACAGCACCACACTAGGACTCTGTTAGCAGGGAAGAGTTCAATAACTAATGGTTTTAATAATTAGACTATGCATATAAAGCAATTTTGAATGGAAGACTAGGGGCTAAAGACAAAGCCAACAATTTTATACTATTATAGTATAACAGATCTGAGGTGATAAGGGCATATGTAGAATGTTTCTTATGTGAATGTAAATAAGAAATGAGGCCATGATGAAGAAGGAAGAATTGACACTAAAGAGAATGCAACATTAAGACAGAATTAGTAAAATATTAGGGTAAGGGAAGGGGTGTGTAGTGAGAATTTCATGTCTGCATATCCAGAAGGAAACAATCAAATGTATTTACTAATTTTCAACTAGAACCTTATACACAAAGATCATTTTTTAAATAGTTTTACTGATGTAATTAATAAATCTCTTTAGTCAAGTTTGGCTGAATCTTTACCATATGGAAAATAGTATAGCTAGTAAATAATGTATCATTTCCAGAAACTCAAGCATAATTTATACTAAGAAATTTGGAAGACAGCTGCCTGGCCAAATGACAGGAAGAGATCCATATTTGAGCCCGTGACAAAGGAAGATGACCAAGCAGATGAGGAAATTATCATTAATATCACACACAAGTAAAATTGCGCTGAAGATAATTCATAAATGGTTGCATTAGCACATTGATGTGGAGCTGCCTGAAATCTAAGCTGAATTCCAAAGGGGATGTGAAACAAGGACTGTCATTACTATTGCCAGATGGATCTTGGCTGAAAGCAGAGAATACTTGAAATATGCTTATTTGTATTTTATTGTCTAAGCAAAGGCATTTGACTATCTGGATCAATACAAACTACGGATGTCAATGGGAAAAATGGAAATTCCAATGTTTCCAACCCATGTTTTACATCAACTTCAAATGCTGTGACTCATGTTTAATTTTTTAAATTATAAGGAAAGGTATAGCTCACAGTCTAGAAGAAGGGAAGGGTAAGAAGGAATTTTAACTAAACTTTGATCTCTCCTAGTGCTCCATTACCTGTGGTAAGGGAATGCAGTCCCGGGTTATCCAGTGCATGCATAAGATCACAGGAAGACATGGCAATGAGTGCTTTTCTTCCGAAAAGCCTGCAGCATACAGGCCGTGTCATCTCCAGCCCTGCAATGAGAAGATTAATGTAAATACAATCACATCACCCAGGCTGGGTAAGTACACCAAATGCAGGTGTCATTTTCAGAAGCATAGAAATGCTTTTGACTTCTCCTGTCTGCCCATTTGAATGCTTGTGAGTTATAAACATACACCAATTAGTTTGATGCTCACTAAATTGCCTTTATTTAAATATACCAAACCAAAGTTGTTGCTGTTGAGTTGATGCTAATTCCTAGCAGTCCTACAGGACAGAGTGGAACTGCTTCACAAGGTTTCTAGGCTATAAATCTTTATGGGGCAGACTGCCACATCTTTCTTGTACAGAGCTGCTGGCTGGGTTTAAACAACTCACCTTTTGTTTAGCAGCTGAGTGCTTAACCACTTAGTGCCTTACTCTTTTAAGTGCCATGAAGTCGGTTCTGTACCACAGCAACTCTGTATAGAGGTTCCTACTAGCAGTTGGTAGATTTGAACTGGCAACATTTTGGTTAGCAATGCAGTGCTTATCCTATAGTGCCATACTAGGGTGCCTTGTTGTTGTTGTTAAGTGCCATCGAGTTGGTTCTTACCGATAGTAAACCTGTATAGGGTTTCCAAGGAGCAGCTGGTGAGCTTGAATCACCCACCTTGCGATTCGAAACGACGTTGCAATCCAGCACATTAACCCACAGCACCATACCAGGATTCCAAGGTGACTTATAGCTTATTGGAAATGATCAGGTCAGGAAAAAGATCTAACGAATAGTTGCTCTGATTCCTGATGGTCTTTACTCAGAGCCAGGCCTTAGCTAAGCCATACCACACTGGGTCACTGTGAATCAGAACCAGTTCCAGGACACTTAAACAACATTTTGCCAAAATTCAAGGAGTTTAATTCTCATTAGTGTCTTTCCAGGAATAAAATTCAATCAAATGGAAAAGTTTGATTCTTTTTGGAAATACAATTTATTTATTTATTTATTTTTTGAGCCAAATGCCTATCATTTCTAAGGAATAATCGGCTCAAGTAGAAAAGACCAATTAAGACTAATAGTTAAGCAGGCCTCGAGCAGATGCACCAAATTAATGTATTCTAAAATGACATAGTAATCCTTTTTTCTTACAATTGCTCAGAGTCCTTCTGGATGTATCATGTGGCAAAATAATTTATTAAAAAGAAAATTTCATTAAAATTCATTTCTATTTTTTTAAAATTCTTTGGAGGTTTATACTAAAACACAGAAGTACAATGGTTGGAAAATCTAAGGTTGCTATGAGTCAGAACCAATTCCACAGTGCTTAAAAACAACTTTTGTAATTTCTTTGTAAGTTTTGTCTATAACAGTCCTTACTTATTTGTATTTCCATTAATATGGTTATATTGAACACGTTAGTTTTTTTACTTCTATCTTTTGTATTGAAATCCAAAAGAAACTTAATCAACAGAAGCCATACAATTAAATCTTAAAAATCATTTATGTTACCACTCATTGAACTTGAGAAATCTGTCTTTAATTAGGATTCCTTTGTGGTGCAAACTGTTAATATGCTCAGCTCCTAAGTGAATGGTTGGAGATTTCAGTCCACCCAGAGGTACCTCATAAGAAATGTTTGAAATCTACTTCCAGAAAATCAGACACTGAAAATCCTGTGGAACACAGTTCTACTGCAATACACATGGGGGAGCCATGTGATAAACTTAATTTGACGGTAACTGATGGTGTTTGTTGTTGTTAAGTGCCATCGAGTCGGTACAGACTCATAGTGACCTTATGTACAACAGAATGAAACACTGCCCAACCCTGGGCCAACCTCACTATTGTTGCCACGCTTGAGCCCATTGATGCCACCACTTTGTCAATCCATCTTGCTGGTGGTCTTCCTTTTTTTCTCTGACCCTCTACCTTACCAAACATGATACCCTTCTCCAGAGACTGGTCCCTCCTGATAATAGTACATAGTATGAGAGATGAACTTTGGCCATCCTGGCCTCCAGGGAGCACTCTGGCTGCACTGCTTCCAACACAGGTTCTTTTGGCAACCCAGGGTACATTCAATATTCAATATTCTCCTCCAACACCATAATTCAAAAGCATCAGTTCTTCTACGATCTTCCTTATTCACTGTCCATCTTTTGCATACATATGAGGTTATTGAAAATACCATGGCTTGGGTCAGGCACACCTTAGTCCTCAAGCTGACATCTCTGCTCTTCAGCACTTTATAAAGGTCTTGTGCAGCAGATTTGCCTAATGTAATACATTGTTTGAAACCCTGTACAGGGTCACTATGTGTCGGAACTGACTCCATGGAACACCACCACCATATCTGACAATGTTTTTGTGCTATTCATAAGGTTTTCAGTGACTTAATATTCAGAAGTAGTTCATCATTCCTTCTTCCTAGTCTGTCTTCATCTGAAAGCTCATCTGAAACCTCTCCACCATAGTTGACCCGCTGGTATTTAAAATATCAGTGGCATAACTTCCAGAATCACAGCAACTCACAAGCTACCACAGTAGGACAAATGACAGACGAGTGGTGGGTTAGTGGTGGTAGAGCTTTAATAAGCCTAAAAAAACTATTAAGTAAGAACATTATTCATTAACTTTACTTTTTTTCTCATCGGATGTAGTATATGTGTGCTTCTGTATCTCCTCTACTAAATCACAAGGGCTGAATTTATCTTTTAAGTTCTAGGAAATGATGAGAATGAGTCAAAGCAAATATACAATATCCCTTTCATGCACCCATGCATATTATTGCAATATGTTCTCTGTAATGTTAACTAGGAGTCCTGGTTAATGCACTGAACGCAAAGTTAGTTTGAACCACAAGGTCAGCGGTTCAAGCTCACCAGCTACTCCTCAGAAGCCCTATGTAGGGTCGCTATGGGTTGGAACCAACTTGATACCACTTACCAAACAACAAAAACAATGGCAACTAGGATATCGACATATATTAAATTCACTGTTTGTTTGTTTTTAACAGCTGCTCTGACATTCAAGTGTCTGGGAGATCAGTGGCCTGTGTACTGCCGGGTGATACGTGAGAAGAACCTATGTCAGGACATGCGGTGGTATCAGCGCTGCTGTGAGACATGCAGGGACTTCTATGCCCAGAAGCTGCAGCAGAAGAGTTGACCCCAGGCAGAATGACTGGCTTACAGCTCTTTGCAGTTACATTATTTATAAGCTCACATATAAGCATGTTTTTTTCAGACCAAATGTTATCAGATTGCATATAATTTAATCAAATTAATTTATTTTTGCCAGGTGCCAAACATCAATATGTTGTTTGTTTTGGTCACGCAACATCTTGATTTACCCTACATGAATTCATAAAGAATTTCATTTGAATAAATTGGACCAATTTATTGGAATAAGTTGAAAACAGAAAAGAAAAAACCCCGCAAGATTATTAGACTTCCAAAATATTTCTTTTTTTCAAGTTAGTGCTATCTCTAAGGTGCTATTCTCTCCTTGCAAATACTATTGAGTTACCCAGAATGTATACTAATTTAGATTAATAGTTTAGTAATATATGGAGAGAATATTTGTGTGTGTGTGTGTGTCCTGATGCAGAACTAGCCCATTTTCTGTAATCTGTGGAATATAAGTAACCTCATACTGTTGAAAAGTTTACCAGAAAAGTGTATTGTGAATTTGGTTCATATATAGAAACATCAATAGGAAAAATTATACTGTAACTATGTCCTTATTTTAATAATGGAAAAGAAAAGTCAAAATAGAGTCTGATCATGTTCATGAACATGTACTTGAACACAAGTATTGTAACAATGAAACACTGTAAAGATTTACACTGAATCACCATTGCACTGTTGATATAGTGTAGAGAAACCATTTAGAAATGGTAACATCTTACAAAAATATGTATTATTTTAACATATTGTCATTAGATTTTAGCTTTAAAAAATGATGTTTTTTTTAACAAAAGACATTGATCCATCCATTTCCTTGTATCTTTTTGCAGGGTTTTGAAAGAGTATAGTATTTAGCCTCACAAATGATTAAGAGAATGTTTAATAAATATTTTGCAGCCTTTTTTTCCTTAGAACACAGCAAGACAAAAAACATGAAACTGTAGTAATTTCACTGTGTTTATTCCTTTTTAAAATTAAGAAGGTTTTACAATTCTGTGAAATGTTAAAAATTCAGCTTAAAATTTTTCTTGTGAGAAAATATTTTACATGAGTCACATGATTTCTTAGATTTTTCAATAAAATACATGAAACTTACTATTGGGAGACAATTGTTCTTGGGCTCTGAAATTCCTACATGGTTTATGTACATCAGCACAATCTGCTTTTGTTTTGGATTATCTTTTAGAAAAGATCAGCCATGTTCAGTGTGTTGCAGCCATAAACTTTAGGCTGTCTTTTAAAGGTGTCGGGGGTCCAATGTCGGGGTCCCGCCTCAACAAAGGAGTGCCTCGATGAAGGTTTTAACGTGAGTGGGAGATCTGGTAGGCGAAAGAAATAGATTAAACACAAAGAAGACAGACACACAAGTTTGATGCAGGTCTGGAAAGGCAAGAGAGAAAGAAACACTCTAAGACCAGAGTGGATGCAAGCTGACAGGCAAGCTAGCATACTGGACTAGCTGAGCCCCAGTCTTTTATTGTCAGAAAAAGGGAAATTGGCACAGGAGACAATAAGGAAAAAAGTGATTGTTCTTTCAAGGCAAGACATAAAATTATTTATGTGATATAGAACATGATGATTCACAGAGTTAATCTTTCAATATGTTCTGAATACTTCATGATTTGCATAATAATCTAACATTTATATTTCTCTGAGAAAAGGTCAAGCATAACTTTTATAATAATCCAAGATTCTTATTTCTATGAGAAAAATTCAAGCAAGCAATTATAGTTTATCTATTAACTCCTGTTCCTGTTCTACCTGAGTCATTTGAGGAAGCTGTACCAGTTTGGCTACTAAGGGGAAAGTTCAGTTTATTTTTATACATGGACATCAAGAGCTCATGTATTTGGTTAAAGTTCAAATATGACTGAATAGTCAGATAAGGAGTAGTTCCAACATTCTTCCCAGGTGGCCACTGCCTGGTCCTCAAGACAATCTGTTCCCAGGACCCCACATACTGCCAATATCTTCAAGGCAGTGACATTTACAATGGAGCCATTAAGAGAGGCAATGTGTATATTGCTATTATTAGACACCAATTTCTCAGAAGCTACAATCACTGGAGTAAGAAGCATAAGGGACAAGTATAGAATGAGCAGTATGAAAACCAAAGTGAATTGTACAGAGGTAGCCAGCCAGTGAGCTTGCAAAAACCCATGCACCCGGGATGTCAGGAGATCACTTCCTCGGCCCTCAGGGTCCATGGCTTCACAAGTCTGAGGAGGGCCCTGGAAGTTGGATTTTCGCCCATGTTATCACAGGGCCTCAGCTTCTCAAGGGTTGCGTATGCCGTTGCCGGCATAAAGGATGTTCACACAGCATAAGCAGTGAAAGATGGAGATAGTGTTTCTGTCTGGAGCAAAAGGCAGGCGTGTTCACTGCTCATTGAAAAAATTTTCAGGTTCTCTGAGATTGGAGTTCTTTCTAATTTTCTTTCTAAGACCTCCTTAAATTGTTCAAGACCAAAGGTGTCAGTCTGAGGACTAAAGTGTGTCTGACGCAAACCATGGTAGTTTCAATAACTTCATATGCATGTGAAAGTTGCACAATGTATAAAGAAGACTGTAGAAGAATTGATACATTTGAGTTAGAGCATTGGAGGGGGATATTAAAAGTACATGGACCGCCAAAAGAACAAACAAATCTGTATTGGGAGAAGTACAACCAGGATGTAGAAACCAGGATGGCCAGACTTCATCTTTTGTACTTCAGACATATTATCCAGAGGGACCAGTTACTGAAGAAGGACATCATGCTTGGTAAAGTGGAAGGTCAGTGAAAAAGCAGAAAACCCCCACAGTGACAACAGCAATGCGCTCAAGTGTAACAACAATTGTGAGGTTGGTGACCAGGCAGTGTTTTGTTCTGTTACGCATAAGGTCGCAATGAGTCAGTACAGATTTAACAGCTTTGGTGTGGTGCTGTGGGTTAATGCGCCAGACTGCAAAGCCGTTTGAACAGCAAGGTTGGCGGTTCAAGCTCACCGGCTGCTCCTCGGAAACCCTACACAGGGTCGTTATGGGTTGGAACTGACTCAACAGCACTTCACAACAGCAACAAACAAAACTGGAGTCACTTCCCTATACCACAGCCCATTGTATGTGCAGGTGTCACCTGGCTCTTTTCATGTTTTCCTTTGAAAACTAAAGCTCAGATAACTGGGGGGGTGGGGGGGAGAGGAGGGGGGAAGGAAAGGGTCTCTGGCCAGTGAAATTGCTGTGAATAGTAAAAGTATCTGTATCTAATCCAGAGGTCTTGTGTCTTCTGCTCTGGAACTATGATGGGCTAACTTCAGAATTTACAGCAAGAGTAAAACCCCAATGCAAAAACCATGCAGAGGCCACATCTCACTTCATCTGGCTTCACAAGGGAGAAAATCAAACTTAATTTTCTCAACCCAAGGCTGAGTTCTATGATGTGTAGGTCAGACATGCCTCGGCTCTACAATTTTCTTTACCCTACTCTGACACCAACCATCCCTCCCACAGCACTCTTAGATTCACATTTGGGTTTTATACCTCATTATAATAGCTATTGTTGTTGTTGTTAAGTGCCGTCGAGTTGGTTCCGACCCATAGCAACCCTGTACAGGGTTTCCGAGGCAGTAAATCTTTACAGGAGCAGAACACCTCATCTTTCTCCCGCGGAGTGGCTGGTAGTTTCGAACTGCTGGCCTTAAGGTTCACAGCCCGATTCGTAACCACTATGCTACCAGAGCTCCTTATATAATAGCTATACAGAACTCATAACAATGCTCACAATAATGAGGTTTATTAGGGAAGTGAATAGGGTACAAATCAGAACCAGAAACAACTCAGGATGCAGCACTTCTCCAATCAGGAATGTGTCTCATCTACCATATTGCACACATGCCTCACTCTTGTCTTTGGCCTCTCAGCCATGTGGCCCCATAGCCTCTGACCTGCTTGGGCAAATGTTACAAAATTCCTTTAGCCAGTCTGTAAATGCCTAAAGGACACATTGTGCAAGTCAACCTCCTTCCTGTAGGCACTCAACTTTACTCAATCACCAGCATAGAGGCCCACAGACTCTCTGTCTCTCCATGCTATTGCTTCTGCTACCACCTCTGTTGTTGCCGTGTTTCTAGGTGGAGATCACCTGGAATAGTCTCATACTGCTTCTGAGATGGCTTTTTTAAAACTTAGTAGGATGACAAAACTAGCCAATCCCAGCCTTAGAATCCAGTACAACTTATGTGCACAGTATTACCTAATCAATCCTGGTGAGGTACTGTAGGAAAGGCACTGGACTGCAAGGTCAGTTTAAATTACAAGGTTGGTGATTCAAACTCACCAGCCTTTCCTTGGAAACTGTATATAGATTCACTATAAGTCAGAACCAACTTGATGGCACTTAACAACAACCCAATTTAAAAGGGAATTAAAAGCACATTGGGTCGAAAAACCACATCAGATAAAATCAAGGTACCTCAACAACTACTAAAAAAGGCAATAGCAATCCCTCACAAAGCCCTCTCTACTCAGCTGGGTTCAGTAATTAATTGCAATGATGACACAGAACTCAGACACCATACTCACAGTTATGGGATTTATTAGGAAAGTTAACAGGTTACAATTCAGTATCAGAAATGTATAGGGGTCCAGGTCTCCTCAGCCATGCGCACAGGCAAGTCTCTGTCTTCCTAGACAATGCTACATAGATGTTTTAGGGTCACTATAGTTTCACGGAGGAAACAATCGTTGGAGAAGGACGTCATGCTGGGTAAGATGGAGGGTCAGAGAAAAAGAGGAAGACCTCTAACGAGATGGATTGGCCAGGTGGCATCATTGATGGACTCAAGTGTGGCAGCGGTGGTGAGGTTGGCCCAGGATCAGACATTGTTTTGTTCTGCTGTGCATGGGGTCGCTATGAGTCGGTTCCGACTCGATGGCACCTGACAACGACAACAACATAGTTTCACGGAGTCCTGGTGTGGTGCTGTGTGTTAACGCACCAAACTGCAAAGCCATTTAAACTGCAAGGTCAGCGGTTCAAGTTCATCAGACCCTGTATAGGGTCGCTATGGGTCGGATCCAACTCTACGGCACTTTAAACAACAACAACAACATAGTTTCATGGGTCAGCAAGCCAATTGTTATTGTTGTTAAGTGCCATCAAGTCAGCTCTGACAACCACCTTATGCACAGCAGAATGAAACATTTCTCTGACCTGCACCATCTTGCCACTTGTTATGGTTCATCCCATTGGCGATCTTCTCTTTTTTGCTGACCCTCCACTTTTCTAAGCATGATGGCCTCCAGGGACTTGTCCTTCCTGATAATATGTTCAAAGGACAAAAGATGCAGGCTCGCCATCTTCACTTCTAAGGAATATTCTGACTGTATTTCTCCCAATACAGATTTGTTTAGTCTTCTAAAAGTCTATGGTATGTTCAATATTGTTCACCAACACCATATTCATATGTTTCAATTCTTCAATGGTCTTCCTTACTCATTGTCCAACTTTTTCATGCATATATGGCAGTTGAAAATATCATGGCCAAGGTCAGGTTCACCTTAGCCCTCAAACTGACATCTTTGTTTTTCACACTTTAAGAGGTCTTTGCAGCAGATTTACCTATTGCAATATTTCATTTGATTTTGTAATTGCTGTTTCCATGAGTGTTGATTGTGGACCCAAGAAATCTGAAGTCCTTGGAAACATCAGTCTTTTCTCTATTTATCATGATGTAATTTATTCATCCAGTTGTGAGGATTTTTGTTTTCTGTACATTGAGGTGAAATTCATAGTGAAGATTAGTCTTTTTTTTTTAATTATTTAAATGTTTTATTGTGAATTATGTGATAGTTTAAATAGGAGAACATTAGCTTTACATTCATCCTATCATATATAATTTCATTGCCATGGTTACTATCCCCTCCATGCATCATCAACCAACCAAAGGGTATACCCTGTAAGCCTGCCCCCTGGTTGTCAGCACACAGCCCCTCTTCCTCTCTGGGTCTAAAGTCCTCAGAAGC